CACAGCGCCACTTCCGGCTTTTTTCTTTTTGCTTATGTGGTGCTGAGGAATCGAACCCAGGGCCTCAGGCATGCAAGGCAAGCGCTCTACCACTGTGCCACCTTCCCAGCCCCTGTGGGTTAGCTCTTGATTCTGGAAATTGTTTCTTTTGTTGTACAGAAGCCTATTGATTTGATATAATCCCATTTGTCAATTCTTACTCTTATTTGACCAACTATTGGACTCTTATTCAGGAAGTCATTGTCTATGCCTATATCTTTCAGTGCTTTCCCTGTGCTTCATGTAATAGTTTCACTGATTCAGATCTTGCATTAAGGTCTCTGATCCACTTTGGAATTAATTTTAGTACAAAATGAGAAATAGGGATTTAGTTTCAATTTTCTACATGTGATAATCTAGTTTTCCCAGCATCATTCATTGGGGACTATCTTTCCTTTAATGTAGGTTTTTGGCCCCTTTGTCAAAAATCAGATGGCTATAGTTATGTGGATTTATTCTGAATTCATCTAGTCTATTCCATTTATCTACCAGTCTGGTTTTGTGTCAGTGACATTCACATAAACTCTCTCCTCAGTTATAGCTTCTGGTGAAGGATCTTCCTGGCAAGTAGATAGTTTCCTTCCTGCTAGGTCCTCACATGGAGGCCCTGTGTCCATGCAAAAGTCAGGGGGTCAGAGTTTTGATACATGATTTGGGGGATACAAATATTCAGTCTCTACATGTTTCTGACATACATCACATGGAAACTGTGTGCTCAAACCTCATTGGAATGGACTAGAATATACACAGGTCCCTGAAGAGCATAGCCACTCATTTTCCTTGATCCTGGGGAAGAACAGAACCCAGATATCCTTACTAAGGAGAGGAGGTGTGTGGTTGCAAATGGTGGGGATGTTAAGGTTGTAATTTTAGATTTTCTTCCCCAAAATGTGACTTTACCTCCCTTTAAGATGACTGTACAAGTTCATGCTTGTCTTCAGGAACCTGCTTGTGTATCCAAAATTCTCAAGCTGAGGTTGTCTTAACTAAGAAACTTGAGGGGCTGGGAAGTTGGCTCAGTGGTAAAGTGCTTGCCTTGCATGCCTGAGGCCCTGGGTTTGATTCCTCAGCACCACATAAGCAAAAAGAAAAAAGCCGGAAGTGATGCGCAAGTGGTAGAGCACTAGCCTTGAGCTGAAGAGCTGAGGGACAGCACCCAGGCCCAGAGTTCAGGCCCCACGACTGGATCCCCCCCCCAAAAAAAAGAAACGAGAGGAAGGGGGAGAGAGAGAGAAAAAGAAAGAGGGGAGGGGAGGGGAAGGGAGGAGAGGGGAGGAGAGGAGAGGAGCATGCATGCATACTGGTCCTGACATTATCCAAGTTACTTGTAGTTTTTGGCATTTCTGAAGTGTCTATGTCTATTGTGAGAAGGTATATGAAATAACTTGAGGTAATTGGGCTAAAATGGGACACAAGAACTTCCCAGTAAGGTCAGAATACCAGCATGGTCCAAAGCTACTAGAGTGGTATAACATCAATGAGGACAGCATTCAGATTCATGTAACTGTGGCTTAAATGGCTTAACCAAATAGGGGATTGTTTTTCTCATTCATGAGAAACTTGGGACAGACAGTTCAGGATTCTAGTACCTTTGTATTTTGCCATCCTATGAGTGTAGCTGTAATCAAGCTTTTAGGAGCCTGGGTGACCACATCTACACATGGAACCTCAGTTCCCGGCAGGATGCAAGAAGAGGATGGGCACATCAGATTGAGTGCATCCTCTAATACTCTTTCCTGTATAAACCCTATCCAATGGCTTCCGTTTAATTAATTAATTAATTAATGCTTGATTGATTAATTGATTTAATCTAGGACTTGAACTCAGAGCCTGAGTGCTGTCCCTTGGCTGTTTTGCTCCAGGCTGGTGCTCTGTCATTTGAGCTACACCTCTTCTTCCTGTTTTTTTTTTCTAGTTAATTGGAGATAAGAGTCTCACAAAATGTTCTGCCTGGGCTGGATTTGAACCATGATCCCCTGATCTCAGCCTCTTTAGTAGTACATGCATGCGCGATCAATGCCTGATTTCCATTTGTATTTTAATTGGTTACGTGACAATTATTAGCTGTCCCTGTCTATTAGGACATGGAAACTGAATATTTTAAGCAGGTATTATGCAACCCTGATTAAAATTAGCACCTGTTACCAAGGAAAAGGGGGAAGTGACTGGGACAGGAATTAGCAACACCTGCCACTGTGCTATTAGTTTGAATGTCTTCTCCAAAAGGCCTCATGTTGGTAAACAAGTACCCAATGTGGCAGTGTTGAGGGTGCACGTCCTCATGAAGAATGAACTAATGCCACTACTGAGGACATGGGTTTCTCGTGAAAGGGCAAGTTTGACCCCATTTCTCTTTACCTCTTCCACTTTCTCCCTCTCTCTGACTCCCTTTCCTGCTCACCTTTCTATCATGAGATGAAGAAACAAAACTGCCTTATCACATGCTAGACCTTTTTTTTTTTATCTTTGACTTTGTAGCTTCCATAGCCACAGGTCAACAAACTTCTCTCCATTATGAATGACATAGTCTATTGTAGTCTCTCAAAGAAGCATAAAAAACAGACTAAGAGGGGATGGAAAGTTGGCTTAGTGGTAGAGTACTTGCCTCGCATGCATGAGGCCCTTGGGTTCGATTCCTCAGCACCACATAAGCAGAAAAAGCTGGAAGTGGAGCTGTGGCTCAAGTGGAAGGGTGCTAGCCTTGAGCTGGAGAGCTGAGAGACAGTGCCCAGACTCAGAGTTCAAGCCCCACAACCAACAAAATATACCAACAAAAAAGACTAAGACATGTGTCTTTCAGATATATTCCTTACCTTTGTGGAGAGCTTCTGCCTGCTGTAAGAAAAGGCCAAGAAGGGGACAGCTGTGTCCTTCCCTTTTCTCTCATCTCCTGAGTAATTCAGCTGTGACCCAAACTCCTCAATTACCAAACAGCAAAACAGAGGCCACAAGGCTAATTGCATTGTTGCTCCAGGGCTTGCCTACTCACCAACCACTTCAGCATCCTTATATCCTACTCCTGTTCTGGGAGCTGGGGACATAGTATGTAAAAGACTGCGCCCCTGGGTGCTGAAGCTGCCATTTAGTGCTCTGGTAGAAGTCAAAATACAATCAGATATGTGACCTGGAATAACCTCTTTAAGGAGGACATTTGAGCAAAGAGCAAAGTGAAGGCAGGACCACAAGACTGCCTCAGGGAAGAGCCTTCCCATAACTAAGGTAACCTGGCAGGTTCTAGAAAGAGGCCTTCTCTTGGCGTGTGGGTAGCAAGTTCATGTTGCTGCAGAAAGAATTTTTGAACACATCAAGTCAGGGATTAAGAAAGTTTATTAGTAAAGCAAAGCAAAGCAAATATGAAAGATGGCACACACCCAGACATGGAAGTGGGCACCATTAATGACATGGAAGTGGGCACCATTAATAACAGGTGCCGTGAGTGCTCCATCATCAGTAGATTGGGAAAAGTAGATTGGGGTTTGAGCCAAATTCACTTTAAGACAAGGGATCTCACACCAGTTACATTTAATCATTCTTCCAGTCACACTATTTTATCAATTGGGCTTAGAGATTCAAGGCTGGTCTGCATATCTGTGGGATAAATGAAGCAGGTGCTCCTTTCAAAACAGATGTCCATCGTTGAGACAAATACTTTCTTTTGCAAACACATTTTGCATACTAAGAATTCGTTTGCTCAAATGTTTTCCTCAGGTTAAGTGACTTTAAGATATCCTTGCTTAGTTCCTAGCATACAATAATTGTTTAGGTAAGCAGACAAGGTGAGAGGGACAGAGCTGCTCTTTTTCCATTTTATCCCCTATCTACTAAATGTTGCAGCTTAGTGAGGGAGTGAAGGCCTGAAGCAAAGAAAATAGTGATTCTGTGTTTTTAATTAAGCAACTTATTACTATAATGTTTGTTTCTGAATTCCCAAGAGACATGCAGATGGTCAATGATTATACGAGACATCCCCCACCCCAAATACCAAGTATGGTCAGCTGGATGAAAAACAAAGGAGTGTATATCCCCCTGCAAAGTGTACCTGAAGCTTCTCAAAGCACTTTACCAAGAAAGGAGTGATTGGAGGTGCATAGAACTCCTCATAGGGTAGACAATAAATGACTGCAACTGGGGCTGTGCCCCTACCCTTTCTCTTACACACAAGAAAGCATATTAAAATGCAAGCAAACGATAGGGAGAGGCACGGCCTTGCACTTGCGTTTGTCAAACTTCAGTGCTTCCACTGGTATTAATAACTAGGGCTGCCTCAAAGGAGCAGGTCAGTTGGGAGGCTGCCAGAGCCATCCATCAGCAAGAGACTCTATAATCTTCCCGGGGAATGGGAGAGCAGGATAGAAATTCCCTGAGGGAAGAAGTATTTACTCACACAGGCAGAAATTCATGAAGTCATTCTAGGCTCCACACCTTTCTTAGATCTTAATGTGCTTCAAAACATCTCATCCTCTCCACCTGCACTGCCATAATCACACACTCCTGTGAGGGATCCTATTTGTTTCTGCTCTCTTTTTCTCACGGCAGTTAGAGTGAGCTTTTAAGAACAGAAAAGGATTATGCCATTTTCTCCAGCTGGCTTCCTATCACACATAAGAAAACACATCCCAATAAGGTAGAAGGGATCAAGAAAAATGAGGCCTTGGAAACAGGAGCTGGGGACAAAAGTGTCCACCCCAACAGAGAAAACTGCATGAGAAAGCAGAGCTGGGAGAGGTATAGATGCTGGTGTTAGCTGGTTTGTTTGTAGAGAGAAGGGCTGAACCTAGAGAGGAGTTTAGACAACTCAGAACTACCTCTGTTGAATCCAATTGAGAAGTACAGAAGGCTCCAAATCAGGATGCCAAACCAGCTATACTGCTGCTCCCTTTAATTCTGTTTCCCTGATAACTTTTACAGATGCTACAGAATTTGGTTCCATAGCTGAAAGTGAAGATGCGCTCCTCAGACACTTGTTCCAAGGTTATCAGAAATGGGTTCGCCCTGTGTTAAATTCTAATGACTCCATAAAAGTTTTTTTCGGATTGAAAATATCTCAGCTTGTGGATGTGGTAAGCAACCCTTGGCACTAAGCTAAACACAACACCTGTTTGTAACTCTCAGCATTATCTTTTTGTTTCCCCTGTGTCTGATTTTCAATGTTGCAAATAAATTATGGTAGGAGAAAAATCTGCTCCAAAAAGCCAGTGAAATGACCTGAGGAAAGAGGGAAAGGTTGCCACAGTAAACTTTTGTTGTGACACTGTTACTAGGGGGCTTTTGCATAGAGGGTGGATGTGATAAGGAGGATGGGCCTTGTCCCTGGTGGGTGGGCAGCAGGGAAGAAGAGGGTACTTGAACAGGGCTGATTGGTGTAATTTTAGCTCTTTCCCTACAGAACAGCAGTGACAGTGCTAAGCTCAAAAGCGAACACTGCTGTCATCTTTGTGAACTTGCCCATCACAGACATTCTGTGTTCATTTTATCTTGAGCTCATGCTTCGGTCATACTTAAATTCTTGGAAAAAAATTAAGTCCCCAAATATAGTGAATCATCCTGCTGTGGTCCCCACAACACTAAAATAACCGTCCCATGTAACCCAAGCCCCCTGTCCCAAGGCACATTGCCCAACTTGATGCTCTGTACCCCAGGATTCTTTCTAGAATAGCATGCAAAACATCTTCAGTTCAGATATTTTCCTCTGCTTTGTGCCATCAAAGAAACTTCTGTTATATGCAGTTTTATATAAATATTGCCACAATGAGCCGTTACTTGTTTTAATAATTATTTTTCATTTTAAGTAAAATGTTCACAATTCCTTAGTATCACATGCCATTTAATTATTCCTAAGTTTAGGATCTTTTGAACTTCTGAATATTATCAAGGTAACCAGAGGAAACAACAAAATACCAATAATAGCTTCCAATTTTAACTTACAGTATTACTTTAATTTTAATTTTCATAGGATGAAAAGAATCAGTTGATGACAACAAATGTGTGGCTCAAACAGGTAAGTGTCAGCCAGGGACTGGATCTGCCAATCCACTCACCAGAATTATTTCCTTTTTATAAATCTCCATCTAAAATATTACTGTAGAAAACACATTGGGTTTGGGTCGGGGTGGGATTTGAGACCAGTTGGAGAGAGTCTTTTTTTTTAAGATAGCAAATTCCCAAACATTTATTTTGCATGTACTTGAATTCTTCACCAGGCACTGGTGGTTCATAACTATAATCCTAACTACTCAGAAAGCTGAGTAGTTTGAAGACAGTCCAGAAAAGAAAACCCATAAGACTCATCTCCATTTAACTACCAAAAAAGAAAACCAGACGTGGAGCTGTGGCTCAAGTGGCTGAGCATTAGCCTTGAGCAAAAAAGCTCAGGGACAGCACCCAGGCCCTGAGTTCAAGCCCTAGGACAGGCAAAAAACAACAAAACAAAACAAAAACTTATGCATTCCTTTTTTAAAATTTAATTTTTTCTGAAATTCAAAAGGCTATATAAGGAGGCTACAGTTTAGTGTTTTATATTCAGAGAAGTTATTTTATTTTAGACTATGAGTGTTTGAGAGCAGTCTGCAGGCTCCCAGAGATGTATTTTTCTGCATTTTTTTTTTGCTCTTGGGCAGAGCCCATTGGTCAGGTGAGATGGTAAATTTCTACCAGTAAATCCTAGAGCTCAGTCCCTGAATTACTTGGAAAAATGCAAAAGGGACTCCAAGATATAACTTTTCTCTAATGAGAGTAGGGAAATCAGATAAGGAAATCAATGATTTTAGTTAGCTTCCCCAGTCGTCTTCTCCATCCCCAGCTGTTTCCTGAAAGGAGTCAGCCCCAAAGGAGAGAATAATAAGAGCTTACCTGTATACTCCAGAACTAGGTGAACTCCCAAACAAAATAAGGAACTTCATCTTAAACAATAGACTGTTTCCTGTTTCCTAAAACAGCTTTAGTTAGAGGACATTGTTCTGGTGATACCAGGAAATAATCACCTTTCAAGTCCCAATCTCACATACATTATCTGGAAGGAGAAAATATTGATACTTGCTTGACAGTAGGTATCAAATTTGATTCAATTGTTTATTTTGTTTTTATTTTATTTCCAATTATGAATGTCTAGATATTACCTAATCTGCCTGTATATTTCAAATACTCCTGGTATCTTAATATTTTAGTTGTTTTTCATATATATATACACATAACAATTCCAAGTTACTTACATTGAAATAAACCATCTATTCAGGTTTTTATATGTTTTCTTGATATTTAGACATTTCATTTGCTAATGATTTATAAGGAACAATGAATGGACAAAAGAAACAGAGAAGATTCTCTAACCTCATATAATGTCATTAATTTTATCCTACCTAAGAACTTTTAATCGTATTAGAGAATTATTGTACTTTTTACTCCTTTCTCTTCCTTTAATTCTTCAATGGTAGGTATGCTAACAAGTTGTGAAACTGCTCTGCACATTATTTTGCTTGCAAATAAAAATAGGCAGGAGAGAATACCAATCTGGGAAAGGATATATAAAAATATGATTTAAATAAAATATTTTGGTATATCTAGCTCATTCTGCAGTGACATCCTGTTTGTGCTGCAAGATTTGGTAGTATTTTGAATTGATGACAACCTTTAAGAAGTCTTGTGTTTTAGTTTGGTAGATCCTACATATATAAGAAGAGAAAGTCACAGCCCTGCCATCAAGGAGAGGACAAAGTTATATATAATCGTGCTTATAAAGTTAACAAAAACAAAAGACTTGCTTGCTGAGACTAAGCTTTTACCAAACTTTCACATGAGATGGTGGTTTCAAAACTGTAGGCCTCAGGATAGAGAAAGAGGATATTTTTCACTCATCTTGTGATTTTGAAAACAAGAATCATTTTAGCCAAAGAGACAGGGTTAGACACAAAAGGTAGAAGCCACAGATCTCTGGGACTTAGCTATAGCTTTGGTAATGACCAAACAGGGAATGAATTCTGTGGTGTGGGGGCAAGCAGGGGGCTGCACAGAGGAGGGCACCTTTGGGCTTGGTCTTAATGTTAATTATATATATATATATATATATATATATATATATATATATATATCTTTAAAGACTTTTTAAAGTTTTAAGAAAAAAAGAAGCAGGAGGATTAAATGAAAAAGGATGGAGGGTAGAGTGCACCCGTGATAGAGTACGTAGGTTTGTTTAATCTTCACCTTTAAAAAAGAAAAACAAATTTATAAAATCAAAAAGAAGATTTTTTTAAAAAAAGGTAAATTTGATGTTTAAACAACGCTATCTTTGGTGTTTTTAATGAATCTTGATTCCAGAGGAATCACTAAGTTCCCCTGGCACTCTGTTGAATAGGTCATAATCTCATTTAATTATTACAATTGATTTGTAAAATAGGTTATGATATTATTCTTACTTTTATTGTCTTCCTGTTGAAGACTGGACACTTGAAGTAACTTGTCCTGCAAATACCTTGTCAAGGAAATCTGGCTTACACAGTTCTTATCCCTTTGCCTTTGACTAGCTGGTAATGACAGGGGTGTTGGGTTCTGATTACTGGTCTTCAAGGCTTTGGTTCCTTCATCTCTGGGACCTCTTATGGAACAGACAGGTATAGAAGCATTCTTTGGATCGAATAAAGTTAGAATTCCCTTCTATTCCATTTATTCAACTCTCTAGCACTTGCTAGATCCTATGCTAAAATAGAGAAAGCCTTAACCAATGCATTAGTCATGTAAAAATAATTACTATAACATGAAAAATGCCATAAAGAAAATATTTACAAGGTCCTGTCATGATACAAAATGATAGTGAGAATGGGGAAAAGTTAAGGAAAACTCCTAAGAAGAAGAAATATGTAACTTGAGTGTCATGGTCAAACAGTAGTTCTACCAGCCAAAACTGGCAGCAAAGTTGTGAACCACATAAAAGACCTTCCTTCCCAGAATTCTCTCACCTAAGAAAACCTATTAGTAACTGTTTCTACTCATCTCAGAGTGCCTCAGCCAAAATGATCACAATAAAACATTCATTTCCTCCTCTTTCCTTTTCCCTCCCACATCGGCCAATGTTAATTTTTATGCACATCAAGAACAAAAAGACACACTTGGAACCTAAAGTATGCTCTGTTCTGTGCTAGTATGCACAGGTGATATGCTTGGGATTTTGTTTGCTTTTGCTTTTTGTATGTAGCTGTCCTGTCTGATCATCTGTTTCTATAATTATCTTCTGGTATATTTAGACCTTCATTTTCTATCCTCTCAACTAAAGACCTTCATAAAACAAATCTAGTGACATCCCGGGATATACCCTTAGACATAGAGCTATTTTTATTTTATTGATTTTTGTTTTGCAAACTCACTTTTCTTCCTTCTTTGTATTTCCAGAGAGTAATCACAACCCTATAAATCATAAATATATTATTAGCATTGACTAACTAAGGCTACATGAGAAAGGACTCGATGCCTTATTACCCTCATATTTTCATCACCATGTTCAAGGTCAGGGAAACCAGATTACCAGCACCTTGAGGGAAGTGGAAAGTGAAACCAGCCTTTTTTTCCCCTAAAGCCTCAATGTCATGTGAATACTCATCATGATGGTGGATGCCATATTTATTCTTTTTTTTTTTTTTGGGTCCGGTTGTGGGGCCTGAACTCTGGACCTGGGCGCTGACCCTCAGCTCTTCAGCTGAAGGCTAGCCCTTTACCACTTGAGCCACAGCACCACTTCCGGCTTTTTTCTTTTTGCTTATGTGGTGCTGAGGAATCGAACCCAGGGCCTCTGGCATGCAAGGCAAGCGCTCTACCACTGAGCCACCTTCCCAGCCCGCCATATTTATTCAATAAACACTGTACAACAACTAATTGATATGCACTGGGTGATGTGGGGCTGAGTGTGAACTCCAGTAAGAAGGAATTCCCAGAGAACCAGGGTACACTGTAGCCTAAAACAGTTCACCCTGCAGAAACCAGAGCTGTCAGGTGGCTGCCAAAGCCAACATCTTAAGCTAGAGGTATTTCTCTAACAGCTGGTTTCTATTTCAGATCAACACAATGTTCAACAAACATAATGAAGACCTGATAGAATAAACCCTTAAGCTGGTTTTTGAGGACAGAAAGAAATAAACTAGCACAGGGTAGACTTAAAGGTTGGAATAATTTTTCCAGAGGTCTATCATACTTATCCTGGAATGGTACAGTTGGCCCACCTTAGGCAGCCATTTGAATTTCCTACCTTCCCTAAAGCCTCTCTCTGATCTTAGCAGAGGAGATCTGTTTGAACTTCTCACTCAAGTGTATAAGAACTTAACCAAAAGGTCAACTATGTAAATGTGGGAAGTGTAAGGTTCTGTGAAAGGAGACCACCACATGGTTCAGGCAGAAAAGAGTTTTTTGGGGGGAGAGCAAACTGTGGGCCACACAACATGAAGGCCTATGGAGAGAGAAGAAAAGAGAAAAAGAGGGCAGGGACTGTAGGAGAGTGGGATTATAGAGAAAGGTGGGAGGTGAGACCACAGAGGATTTGGAAGTGATCTCAGAGCCTGGGGAGCCTCGCACTGTCCCTGACGGAGGCATGACTGGGGTGGTTTGGGAAGTGACTTCATTGTATGAGGTCCTTTGCCAACTTACAGTCAGGTGATTGACAGTTAGGTGATTAGTGGTTTCAGGCAGGTAAAGAGGAAGCCGGGAGAGGGCTATTCTCCCAGGCAGACCTAACAGAAAGTTCCCTTTCATCTCTGTGGTATTCAGTCTTATATATAAAACAGAGGCCAATCCAAGCTTACAATGGTGTTAGGAAGATAAATGTGACAGTGTGCGAAAGTGACTAGTTCAATAAATGTCATTTCCTGTTGTCACCTGTATAGGTTTCTTTCACCCTTAATAGCAAATTAACACTCTTCAGCTTTAATATCTCATAGATTTGATGGAAATATGAAACATAATATGACACATTGCTGTCTTTAAAATTAAAATAAATCAACATGAATACGGCTTTAAGTTCAT